TCCACCCCCTCCCCCGCCCTCACCGAAACCTCCTCCCTACCACTACAGACAATGTACTGAAGAGACAGACATTTTGTGTTGAAAAATTTTATTTTTATTCCAAGAACCAGTCAGTGGTAGCTAGTTATTGGCAGCATCCATAATATGTCCAGCCAGGCAATCCTGCACAAGAGCAGCCCGACCAACATCTCTATGCTGGTGTTGTGGGGTGCAGTGCACTGTCCACCCATGTCTCCATCTGCTTGCTCCCTCCTGTGCTTCATCAGCCCATGACTCAGTGAAAACCTCCCTCCTGGTTTCACAAATATTGTGAAGCACACAGGCTTCCACTATAAAGACCATTATATTTTCTGGCTGCAACTCGAGCCTGCAGTTCAGTGCCTTCCACTGAGCTTTGAGGTGGCCAAGGGCACATTCAATAGCCATCCTGCATTTGCCAAGATGGTAGTTGAAAGCCATCTTCTGTGGGTGGGTAACATGCCCCCCATAAAGCTTCATGAGCCATGGATTAAGGGGGTAAGCAGCGTTGGCTATTATAAGCAGGGGGTGGCAACACCATGAATCACTGTGTTGGGGACTCCAGGTACATAGTGTCCTTTCTCCAACAAGTGAGGCAGCAGAAAGTTTCTAAACACATGCACATCATGGACACTGCTGGCCCATCCTGTATAAATGTTAGTGAACTGGCCCCGGTGATCCACCATGGCTTGCAGGATTACCGAGGCCAAACCCTTCCTGCTCATGAATGAACAACTCACCAGTGAGGGAGATTGCACATGGATGTGTGTGTTGTCTAAAGCCCCCATGCAGTTAGGGAACCCCATGGCATTGAAACCATCAAGAACTTCCTGGGGGAGACTCAATTCCATTTTGTCCTCACCCATTTTGTCTGTATTCTCCATTTTGGCCTCCTCACTCATTTTGTCGTGAATCTCCATGTCATCCTCCTCACACATTTTGTCTGGAATCTCCATTTGGTCCTCCTTGCTCATCCTATCTGGATTCCATGAAGCTAGGGTGTTTGCCAGTATGCAAAAGGGCCACTATTCAGCACACAGCACCACCAAGATTCATGGGGATTAGGCAGAGGGGGGCTCTGAATAGAAATGGGAGCTGAATACAATCAATTAACATTGAAAGTGACGTCCTATCTGCATGTCAATGATTACCCCACTCAGGTATCTGTGCGTTGGGCATTGGCACAGCAGAGGCCAATGGCCTTTTACTGTTGTGGGTGGGTGTGGGAAGGTGATGTACTGCCCGTCCACTTAGAACTAAAATATCGTGTTTAGGATGACCCCTGGAACCCATTCATGCACCCTGGGGGTAAGATAGTCTTTTCCTGGATCAATGAATAGGCACATCCGAGAAGCATCTCCACAGAAAAGAGGGCTGCCCTGCAATAACCTCATTTTGCAAACAACCATCGCCCCAGAAAAAGAGGCTGGCCCTGAAATTCCATAGGTTTGAAGGAAGCATCACCCTAGAAAACAGGCCTGCCTTGCAAGCACCCAAATTTAGAAAGAAGCATCTTCTCATGAAAACATTCTGTGCCCTGAAAGAACCCGAGGCTGAAAAAAAATCTCCCCATAAAACAGCCATGCCCTGCAATAACCCTGGTCTGAAAGAAACATCTCCACAGAAAAGAACCCTGCCCTGTCCTAGCCAAGGTTTGAAACAGGGCTGTGTGATGGACAGTGCTATGCCTCAATAGCTACCATAACACCTCAATACTTAAGGCAGGCATCAAGGCACGAGAACCATCAAGTCATCTCCCAACAAATATCTGTACTTGACCCCCACCTGGTTTTGGAATGGCCCTTAATTAACACCCATGCTACATTTGTACTGCTGGCTGAGCACTGAAGCCTCCTGCACCGTGCTCTTCTCCCCTAACCTGCTGGATCAAGTTCTGGCCCCCTCTCCCATCTCTCAGATATTATTAAATAGTTCATTGAGAAAAAAGTTGGGGTTCTGGCAATCAAGAATACAGTGCCTTATGATCCCCAGCACAGGTGAGCATTTGATTAGGTGGCACAGCAAGGATAGGGGAAGTTTTGCCTG